GACGGGAGGCCGCGCTCGGCGAGCCCGGGCCTGGGCGCCGGGACTGGGGTCTCTGCCCGTGTGGTCGAGACCGCAGGGAGGGGGCGGGTGTGGGCTGCGGAGTCGACGGACGGGGAGGGTGCCGGGCGGGGCGGGAGGGCCGCCGGGTGGCCGTGCTTTCCACGGGGCGGGGCGGGGTCCGGCCGCCCCCCGCGCTCCTGCCGCTGTGGGCCGCGGGCGCGGTCGGGGTGGCGCGTTAGACGAGAATTCCAGCGGGACGCGCCGCGACAGTGTTGCGCTCACCGCCTCCCTGCCCTTCCGCCTTTCCTCGTTACTACAGCTTTTTTAATGAGCCTCTCACCCACCCTCTCCGTCACCCCAGAAAAAAAAATTTTTTTAACGTCCTGTTGCTTCACGGGGGACTTTCGGGGTGGGCGTCACGTGGCCAGACACGTAGCTGTGAGTCTCGAGAGCGCGTGCGCGCGTCGAGGCCGGTGGCCACGCCCCTTCCGAGGATCGCCCCGCCCCCGCTGGGCTCCGCGAACGCGTGGTGGGGGAGGGGAAAAGCCCAGATCGCGCCTGCGTGGGGCAGGGGCGGGGCTGGGGCGCTGGGTTAGGAGCCCCGCCTTGGCTGGGAGCCCGCGGTTCCGGGGCAGGGGTCTCTGCTTCGTCAGCCCTGGCCGGCCGGGCCCGAGCACAGCCAAGACCCGGCTGCAGTGTGCTGAGGGGGGAGGGGGGAGGGGGGAGCCAAAGCAAAGGAGTTTGGGGTCTCCGAGCCCCGAGCTGCTGCAGTGCTCGCCTCCGCAGAACTTCACTGGGCGCCCGACTCCCGCGTGACGACCCTCCAGTCGTCTCCGTAATTCCCTGCGGTTTTCGTGATTTGCTGGGTTGCTGGAAGGGAAGCCCCCGCGGACTGCGCGCAGACACGCGTGCGCACCCGCGAGGCGCGGGCGCGGGCGTGGGCGTGGGCGGGCCGCCGCGCCGGGGGAGCGTTCCGCCGACTGTCCGCGCGGGGTGACGCGCGTCTGTAGGGGCAGGGTGTGCTGGTTGCACCGTTCCGTTATTCCAAAAGCAAGTTATATTCGAAATGAGCGCAGCGCTTTAGTAGGTGAAGAGGGGAATGTAAGTAGTGCCTGGAATGTTTCACTTCGCGATGGTATCAATGTTCAGTAATGGAATGAAGATGCGCTGTGAAATACAGAGTACGTACATAGTTTGAAAAGCGAAAGTCATCATTTATTTTTACCGACAAAAAATACAGTAGTAAACAGGAGGTTTTTACGTGCAGTATAGTGGGTTTCAAACACGTCTTTAGATTTGTTTGGGAGAGTTTTTTGAGCTACAGCAATGAAGTCCTCTTTGGTGTATAGAAGTCAGTCACTAAATCTGCATATGCGTTTTATTGCGAGTCCTTTATAACAGCTAAGAATACAGATGAATGTAAAGTTGACCCTAATGAGAGTATGCGTGGTTGGTATTTTCTGTTAATCGTATCTTACTAAGTAATTTTTATTGTGAAGTTCTGCTTCACACAGATTTTTTGAAGAGTACTTAAAGGTGCTAAAGGAGTCTCAAACAAATTGGCCGGTAGCTTCTGGCCTTTTCATTTAAAGAACACGGAGTTCATTGTTAAAATGTCTCTACAATAGAGAAAATGGAATTGCCTTGATAGGGAAAGTTTAAAGCATTTAACTCTCAAATATTTTAAATTCTCCAACAACCATAGCTGCTTTTACAGCCATAGAACACTTGCCTACCAAATTATCTATCTGTATAAATGTGGGGAATAGTAATTTGGTTAAAAAGCTGTTGTGTCTTTAAGCAATTTAAGGTATGCTTCCTCACTACCTCCAAGAATGCTAGTTTTAAAGCTGAATTATTCACCTGACTAGTTAGTGTAAAAGATGCAATCCTCCTCGATTTGCTCACTTGTTAAGCTACTAGACCCTATGCTGAATACATACATATCTCATTTAGTCATCAGTGTAACCTTGTGGCATAGGTGATACTGTCATTGTCATTTTACATAAGGGGAAATGTAGGGAGAAGGAGTTAAGTAACATGTCCAGGACTATAGCTAATGAGTCCTGAGTCTGAGATTTAAATCCAATTCCATTTTATTCTAAAACTCATGTTGTTTTTTTACTGACCTTATCCAATAAAAAGGATTGAAAATTATGACAAGATTCCACCATTTTTGGCCCATAAAAACTGCAATTTCATAAGTCTCAACCACTTATAAACTACACTAAAGAACATTAGTAGGTAATATTCATTTCCTATTAAATAATGCTTACAGCATTTATAACAGGTATTATATATCACCTTTTCAAATATATGCAAACAACATTCCTGCTCACAGTACATCAATGGTTTCTTCTCTAAGGAAAAAAAAATCTGAAGACTCCACCAAGAACCGTGAGTCTGCATATGTGGCCCTTTGCACATGTCTCTGGCCTTATGTTCTCCTCCCCAGCTCACTCAGCTTCAACCCTCTGGTATCCCTCTGGATCCTTGAACATGCCAAGCACGCTTTCCTGTTCCAGGACTCTGCTCTTCTCACACTTCTCAAGTCTTGAGACCCTTGATACCCCATACAAAATAGCACATGGGTGCACACACACACCTCCTCCGTTATTCTGTCTACTTACCCCCTTTTCATTCTTTTCATAGCATTTGTGTCCACCTGATGTGATGTGTCTATGGGTCAGTTTGTTTGCCACCTGCCACTACACTTCAAGTTCCATGAGAACAAAGACTTGACTTTCTTTTATTTGAAAATTCTTCACATGTAAAACAGCACATAGTACATGTGAGCACTTATGAAATGTGTTCAGACAGAAGGATTGAGTACTTGTTCCAAGAACTCTGGAAACCCCTTCCCTACATTGTTTAAATCCTTAACATTTGATAGCCTATTTCAGAGATGACTGATGGTCAAGAGTGGTAAGTAGCCAGTGGAGGCAGACCTGGGTCCATGCAGGGTAAGGCCTCTCATTGGAGACAGCTGACCTCAAAGTAGCCAGAGTCCCTTGCTTTGCTGTCACACTCCTGCCTCCAGCATATTAGGTACATATCATAGCATTAATTACCTAGCAGACAGTAAGTTCAATGAGGAATACAACATTTCTTATGGATATGCGGCTTTCCTCAACATGTTTTAAGTTGCTACCTTTTTCCGTGTTGCCACAATGGAGGTCTGCTGTCTGTGGTGAACGCATCTTACTCTGTAAGCCCTCACCTTGCTCTTAACTCTGTGAACCTCTTTCTCTTTCTCAATAAACCTTTTTTCATGCTTGTCTTAAAAAAAAAAATTAAATTGTTGTGAAAAGATTCTTAATTGTCATTTCAAAAATACTACCTTAACATTCAAAATAAATGACAGAATACACTGTACCATGAGCTTCCATTTGAACATCCTTCTAATAGTTTTTTCACTGTGAAAAATCATGTCATCTAATATGTTGACACTAAAAAATGGTTCTGCATTCTAATACCAGTAATTAACCATGAATGGGAATATATTTTCTGTCCTCTTAAGTTTGGTTAGCTATGTTTGCTTACTGCTATTCTTGATGTTTAAAACAGAAAATTACAGTACTCTAAACATCTGTTTATCACAGAGTTTGTACAGGACTAAAATGTTTCTTGGATTTAAGATTCAGCATTTAATGGTTTTTTGTCCCACTGTTCTTTTTAAAAATCTTAATCCTTAAATTTTCCTAAAAAGGAAAGTAATTGTTTATTGTCTTAATAGATTTCTTGAATATCCTTTTAAATTGTGAAATGGTTCATCAGGTAACTACTTAAAAGATTGAAAACAAAACATTTCAAGTTTAGAATATCTTATTAACCAAATATTTCCATTACCTGTAATATGTAAATGTACTCCATTAACCTATAACTAAAGTGCTTAGAGGCTTAGCTGGAAGTTAATAACATGTGAAGGTACATTTGAGAAGTTAACTAACTGCCAAGTAAGGGCCAAAGACAAATTCTGTAAAAATGTCAACGAGTACTAACATGCCCTGCCTGGAGGCCATAGCAAGACTTCATTGGAGGTGGGGATGGGGGAAGATGTGGAGGTGAAAAAGTAGAAAGTCTGGGAGTAGGAAGACTTGGAAAGTGGAAAACTACCGGTCATTAGGGTAAGAGTCTCCACGGAGAATACCAGATGTCAAGCTGAAGTGTTAGTAGGTGAAGAACGTGGGGAATTTATTTTTATACAAGGAAGTGAATCTATCAGTAACATGGATGGATTCCTTTCAGTGAAGTCTAGTTATATCTCTTAGAACAGATTTGTAAAATGAAAAGTATTCCTTCTCACATCTGTTCTAATGTTAATTT